CCAGATTCCACCCTGGGCTGGTGGTCCTGGTCCCCAGGGAGCTCCTGATTCAATCCAGATGYTGCAGGAGCTCATTATCCAGAGGGGATCCCAAAACCTTTGTGGGTGCTGAGCGTGCCCAGGGGAGCAGAGCAGCTCCAGAAATCCGAATGTTTGATTTTTGGGGATTGAATAAGGGACAAGAGGGGACACAGTCCATGTTTGATTTATGGGGATGGAATAAGGGACAAGAGGGGACACAATCCATAGGGCCACAGGGCCCACAGCTGCAGCCACAGCAGCTCTCACAACAGCAATTACATTTTATATAAAAGCAACTTCTTTAGATTTTTTTTTTATTTCATTAGCCAAATACATCTTTGTAAACAATTCTGCATATTTACACTTTTTTTCACAGCACTTAGCAAATCCTAGGGGCTGCTGCACTGTCACCTTTGTGGTCAGGCATTTATTCTCACCTTGCCCATCTGTTACTTTTTGATGCATCCAACAGGTTTTGCCATTAACAGGACAGAAATTATTATTTAACTGACATTAGCATTAAAATAACTCTAAATCTTGTAAAACCTCAATATTTAGTGTTTCAAATATATTAATTATGTTTGCAAAATTGCCATTGGAATGTACAACACATAATAGATTTGTAAATACATTTGTAAATTAGTTCATATTTGTAATTGTTAATGATTAAAATTCTGAATATTTGTAAAAGCTAGCAATACAATATATTTATTGTAATATTTGAAAAAATGTTTGTAAATTAATTAATATTTGTAATTGTTTTTTATTAATATTATATAATATCTGCAAAAGCTAACAAAGCAATATATTTATTACACTTTAATATTTGCAAAAGCCRACATTTATAWGTATTGATCACACAGAGCAAGGAGGGAAATTAAGCAGGAAGGACTTTTAACCTGCCCTAAAGCGCTGTGGCATTTTCTCCTGGCTCTGTCTTTCCTCACAAACTTTTCTCGTTTGGTGGTGCTGGCCAGGGGCCGTGTAACGGGGTCGGGTAATTCATGGATCAGAGTCTGTGTGCACCATTTTTGCTCCTCTTTTGGCTTTCTGCAGGTTGGTGATGCTGAGTTTTGAGAGTTTTGGAGCTGCCCTGTGCCCTTTTCTTTGTTTTTTGTTTCTTTCTGGTTTTTTTCAAGCCAGCTCCGTGCACTGGAGGGTTGTTGTGCCGTTTGGAGCTCTCAGAGCTGCGCTGCTGGGCAGGAACCCACAGCACCAGGAGTGAGATTTATTCTGGAAATAAAGCACTAGGAACCAGATCAAATACAAATCTATCAGGAAAAAAAAAAAAAAAAAAAACAGAAACGTGTTTAATTGATTTTACATTTGCTGTTTAATAAATTCTGGGTTTTTTTCCCCTCTTGACAGATGGCAATTTGATTTCTGGATCATTAAAAAAAAATCAGAAACTATTGCAAGCAATGATTTAATGTTGTTCACGTTTCAAAATATTAGAGAAAGGCCTAAGAAAAAGTTTGGATTTGAACACTCCTGTTCCCAGAGGCTGTTCTGCTCCAAGGCTGTGGCTCAGGCCCATCCTTTCCTTTCACAAGTATCCATGAGAAAAGGATGCTGCCAAATAAACCTCCTGTTTTGAAAAGTGAACGATGACATGTGTTTCTAATAACGTGTCAGATGGAGAAGCATGAAGTAATTTCAATTATTTTTATTATTTGTCTGTGGTTTTTGCTTTCTTCTTTCATTTTGCTTAGCAAAACAGCGAAGCTGGAGCAGCTCATCTCCCTCCCCACTTGCAGCCAGCAAATCAAAGTGAAACTATCGCTGGCCAAAGTCCTGCTGTGCAAACGCTCCTGGATACAAGGGGACATAGTTAAAAATCAGTTATTGCTTAAATTACACAAAGGTATCTGCTGAAATCAACTTCATATTCAGTCAGACTTAAAAAAAAAATTAAAAATTAAAAGAGAGGAGAAGCACTGAGATACCAAAAAAAAAATAAAAAACAAAAAACCAAAACGGTTTCTGGTGCTGGGAACTGAGGATGAAGTCCTTCCCCAAATGGAGGTAAGGGTTGGGAAGGCACTGCCTGCATCCCCATCATATGCAGCAAAGGGAAAACAATTTTTAKAAGAGCTCAGCTTTGGACTAGCCCAGCATTCATATATCAAGTCAGACAGCGACTAAATTMAAAAAGGATATCTGGAATAAATTTAAAGTATACGTTCAGCCCCAGCAATGAAGAGTTTTCTAATAAAAATAAAGACAAATTAGTGGAAAATTGGAACCGAGCTGCTCTAATTTTATTTTTTTCTTCTCTCTTCTGTTTTCAAATGTATTTTCCAGAGTGGATCACTAAAGGAGCCAGAGCCAAACAAAATCCCACCTCAGCGACCACCACCTCAAGGTTGTTTACAGTACATTCTCGACTGTAATGGCGTTGCAGTAGGACCAAAACAAGTCCAGGCTACTTAGATAATTGACACCAAAAGCCAAAGGGTTAAAGCAAAAACAAA